ACTGACTTCACTGCTTCACACTGACTTCACACTAACTTCACTGCTTCACTGCACCACACTGACTTCACTGCTACACTCTTAGAAAAAAGATGCTATCTAGAACCCAAAATAGTTTTCGGCTGACCCCATAGGAGAACCCTTTTAGGTTCCATGTAGAACCCTTTCTACCTAGAACCTAAAAGGGTTCTACCTGGAACCAAAAAGGGTTCTACCTGGAACCAAAAAGGGTTCTACCTGGAACCAAAAAGGGTTCTCCTATGGGGACTGCTGAAGAACCCTTCTGGAACCCTTTATGTAAGTGTATTTATTTGTGTTTATTATGGATCCCCATTAGCTGGTGCCTCTTCCTGGGGTCCAGCAACATTAAGGCTGTATAACCGGAGGAGATTACTCAACGTGTTCTGACTCTCTCATAACAGTGGTCCCTTCTGAGAGTTCCCTCACCTGATGGTCAGCGGACAGTCACTCCACTTAGAGGTAGGCCTTGGCTATGCCACTTCCATGACTGCTTTTTCAGAACCCCTGACTATTCCGTACTACGGTCTCTGATTGAAGATTATTTCAATCTAATCATAATGGCATCATTAAAGGATAAGGAGCTCTGCGTGGGAGAGTTGGCTAGCGTATCTCTGCGTGGGAGAGTTGGCTAGCGTATCTATCTGGTGCTCTGTGTGGGAGAGTTGGCTAGCTTATCTATCTGGTGCTTCTGCCAGTCAGATCAACCCTTTCCTCTCAGTTTTCTTTTGGCTGATGGAGATAAAGGGAGAGATGTAGGCATCCTTTAATGTGAGTGCTAGATAGGGAATGTGTTGTCATTAATACAACAGAGCAGTAGCTTCAGTGTTTCCCCGCCAGACAGACAGAGAGGCCCCAGGCACTGGTGTGAAGATGGGGAGGGAGAGATACATGAGTGGCCTGTCCATCAGCCGAACAGAAAGACTGAGTGGCCTGTCCATCAGCCGAACAGAAAGACTGAGTGGCCTGTCCATCAGCCGAACAGAAAGACTGAGTGGCCTGTCCATCAGCCGAACAGAAAGACTGAGTGGCCTGTCCATCAGCCGAACAGAAAGACTGAGTGGCCTGTCCATCAGCCGAACAGAAAGACTGAGTGGCCTGTCCATCAGCCGAACAGAAAGACTGAGTGGCCTGTCCATCAGCCGAACAGAAAGACTGAGTGGCCTGTCCATCAGCCGAACAGAAAGGACTGGGTGGCCTGTCCATCAGCCGAACAGAAAGACTGAGTGGCCTGTCCATCAGCCGAACAGAAAGACTGAGTGGCCTGTCCATCAGCCGAACAGAAAGACTGAGTGGCCTGTCCATCAGCCGAACAGAAAGAATCCAAAATGGCACCCTATGTAGTGCACTACTTTTGACCAGAGCCCTGTATAGGGGATAGGGTGCCATTTTGGACGCAGAAATAGACTGGGATCGAAAGAGAGGAGGAAGCATGGTTTGATCCTGGCCACTACGTCTGCCAAGCACAACAAGGTCTCATCAGCCCTGCCCCCAATCACCCAGCCAGCAGGTTAACAGGACAGAAGCTAAATCATTTTAACACGTTGACGTTAATGTGGTCTATTTCTCCCCATCTTCAACATGACATCTGTTGCTCCTAAAACACCTCCTTTTCCAGACCACATGACCTGACCACAACTTCCAAATGGTCAGGAAACCTCTGGCCCCTACCCATGACCAACCAGAGCCATATATTTACAGCTGGGACATTGAGGTTTCTGCATTATGATGCATCTACATGACACTACATTCCATGGCAGCCTTGTTAGCTCCCCATGGACAATATTTCAATAGCAGTTCACATAATCTTCTGAATTTAAAACAATAACAATGTACAAAATTCTAAGTTCTCGTCATATGATTGAGTAAATGGAATGCTCAAAGAAAGGTGATAAGATGGCGTTCATTCTAGAAGTTAGCCCAACTCTCTAAATATTTAGTTCTGTCTATGCCCATCCGGTTCTACTACGAAACATCCAAACTCACACTACAACATCAGCACCAGAATCAAATGGGGTAGTTTCAGAGTTATGCTGTGGGTGTCGTGTCTTGGCTTTTGGCTGTAGGGCCAGTCTGGGCAGGAGTGCTACCCGGCCCAGCGTTCTAATGAAGCGTAAAGACTGGCGTAAGGAGGCAGACACACTGACACCCTGCAATCAGACCATTACCTTGTCACTGGGTCAGGCCTTGCTGTCATTACCCAGTTACTGGGCCAGGCCCTGTTGGGCAGGAAAGGCAGGCCAAGAGGAGTCAGGAGTCAGTCCCAGTCGTTACCCTGTCACACAGGACAGGCCCAGCTGAATACTGCCCCTCCTACCTCAGAGAGCCAACTGGGCCTGTCCTGTGAGGTAGGAGGGGAAGTATTCAGCTGGGTCTGGCCTGTGAGGTAGGAGGGGAAGTATTCAGCTGGGTCTGGCCTGTGAGGTAGGAGGGGAAGTATTCAGCTGGGCCTGTCCTGTGAGGTAGGAGGGGAAGTATTCAGCTGGGTCTGGCCTGTGAGGTAGGAGGGGAAGTATTCAGCTGGGTCTGGCCTGTGAGGTAGGAGGGGAAGTATTCAGCTGGGCCTGTCCTGTGAGGTAGGAGGGGAAGTATTCAGCTGGGCCTGTCCTGTGAGGTAGGAGGGGAAGTATTCAGCTGGGCCTGTCCTGTGAGGTAGGAGGGGAAGTATTCAGCTGGGCCTGTCCTGTGAGGTAGGAGGGGAAGTATTCAGCTGGGTCTGGCCTGTGAGGTAGGAGGGGAAGTATTCAGCTGGGCCTGTCCTGTGAGGTAGGAGGGGAAGTATTCAGCTGGGCCTGTCCTGTGAGGTAGGAGGGGAAGTATTCAGCTGGGTCTGGCCTGTGAGGTAGGAGGGGAAGTATTCAGCTGGGCCTGTCCTGTGAGGTAGGAGGGGAAGTATTCAGCTGGGCCTGTCCTGTGAGGTAGGAGGGGAAAGTATTCAGCTGGGCCTGTCCTGTGAGGTAGGAGGGGAAGTATTCAGCTGGGCCTGTCCTGTGAGGTAGGAGGGGAAGTATTCAGCTGGGCCTGTCCTGTGAGGTAGGAGGGGAAGTATTCAGCTGGGTCTGGCCTGTGAGGTAGGAGGAGTCAGGAGAGTCAACCACAGTCATTACCCTGTCGTTGGTCCCTGGCCAGGCCTGTGAGGCAGGAGGCTGCAGGACTCAGCCCATCATTACCGTGGCCAGGCCCTGTGTTTCCCTGCTGCAGCATGACAGAGACAGGCTCACCCTCTCATTAACCACTGTCATGACCCCTGACCCATAGAATTAGAATGCCACCTCTCTGAATGGTCAGTCCTTTGTTCCGTGGCAATGTGGATTCCATTGTTAGGGTCAGAGTCAGATGAGTCTCTTACCTTTTCTAGCATGAGCCCTGCTTGAAACAAATAGGCACATTCTCCCCGGGTCCTTAGTGGACAAGAGGAAGTAGTGCACTATGTTCTGTCAATATACCTGGTCAAATAATAGTTCATAATCAACTCTTAAGGGGGGGCCCTATAAAATCTGCGATTTTTTTTCTCCCAAATTATGTTCCGTTTTATTTTTCACTCTTAAAATTACAATTGTTCATAGAGAAACAACGAAACTGGATGTTCTGAGTATGTCAATCGTAAAATCTCATCAGAAGAAAACATTTTGGGGTCAGATTTTTTTTGTGTAATTGCCCTTTAATTCCACATCTGGCCCTTTAAATGCACATCTGGCCCTTTAAGCACATCTGGCCCTTTAATTACACATCTGGCCCTTTAAATGCACATCTGGCCCTTTAATTACACATCTGGCCCTTTAATTGCACATCTGGCCCTTTAATTGCACATCTGGCCCTTTAATTACACATCTGGCCCTTTAATTACACATCTGGCCCTTTAATTACACATCTAGCAAGTGAAGAATGTGCTGTCTAATGATGATCTGTACTGTTGCTGCTCATTTCATGGGAAATAACATACTTTCTCATGACCTATTTGTAAGTCGCTCTGGATAAGAGCGTCTGCTAAATGACGTAAATGTAAATGTAATGATATACAGTGCCTTGGTAAAGTCTTCAGACCTCTTGACTTTTTCCACATTTTGTTATGTTACAGCCTTATTCTAAAATGGATTAAAATAGTTTTCCCCCCCTCATCAATCTACACACAATACCCCATTACCGAAATACCCCAATACCGAAATTTTTGCTAATTTATAAAAAATAAAAAAATAAACTGAAATATTACATTTACATAAGTATTCAGACCCTTTACTCAGTACTTTGTTGAAGCATTACAGCCCAGAGTCTCCTTTGGTATGACGTTACAAGATTGGCACACCTGTATTTGGGGAGTTTCTCCCATTCTTCTCTGCAGATCCTCTCAAGCTCTGTCAGGTTGGATGGGGAGCGTCGCTGCACAGCTATTTTCAGGTCTCCCCAGAGATTAGCTGGTAGCTTGAGGTGTCTAATACTTGTGAGATTTGTTTATGATGGTTTGCGGTGGAACGCGTGAAACTGGCATGTCCTGTCAGAATAGTTTGGTGAGCTCCCGATAGGGGGGCTGGTAGCTACTGGTAGATCTCCATCGACCTGTTGGGAGACTTCTGCCCCATGGTGTCTCTCACATGCTGTGTTGTTTTGTTTGTGTTGATGGGAGTTGTTCTTGGAAAAATAATCATCACAAACAGGCCTTCCTTCTTCGCAGAGGAATATCCTCATATTTATTTTCAAATAATTTGATGGAAGAATTGATTAATTCATAGTCATAGGCTAGTCATATTTTTCTGCCATCTTCTAACCAGAATATATGGTGATGAAGCCACCCAAATGGAGTCTTCTCCCTTGTGTCAGTCACTGTGTCAGGTCACTTGGTCAGTCACCTTGTGTCGGGTTCCCCTTGTTCAGGGTCCCTTTGTCATGTCCTCTGTGTCAGGTCCTGTGTGTCGGGCACTTGTGTCATGTCACTTTGTCAGGTCCCTGGTCATGGTCACCTTGTGTCAGGGTCACCTTGTGTCAGGTCACTTGTTCATGTCACTTGGTTCGGTCACCTTGTGCAGGTACTTGGTCATGGTCCCTGTGATAGGGTCACTTCGTCAGGGTCTTGGTAGTCACCTTGTGTCTGGTCACCTGTGTCGGGTCCCCTTGTCGGTCACCTGGTGTCGGTCACCTTGTGTGGTGTCTTGTTGTCAGGGTCACTTGTGTCATGGTCCTTGTGTCAGTCACCTGTCAGGGTCCCTGTAGACTATCAAATCCCTTTGAGAGACACAGCAAATGATGCCACAGTCTAAATCATCTTTATTTATTTTTTGCACCACATTAAAACACCCAACGACAGAGGTCAGCATTATAACGAAAGTCCCCTACCGAGTACTAAACTAAAATGTTGACATAAAATGTGCTAAAATGTTGTGATGCTGAATTGTGGTCTGTATAATAGTAATATCTTCAATGTGTTCTTTTTTTTAGCCATAAAACCAACACTTCCCACCCAGAAGCTAAACGCTTTATTTCCTAAACTGATGTTATTACTCCAAAACTAGCCTGAAATAGTCGAGTCAACGAGACAGGATTTGAGAAGGATGGTCATGCGAGACTACCCTAAAACAGAAGAACCATTGGTGTGTCTGTCAGTCACGTGTTGACAGTCATGTATTAATAGTGATATCTTCTATTACAAAGCATTGACAAGTTCTCACAAACACTTGTATTATTTATTTTCTATTCAAATGAGTCACAGCACCTCTATGTAGCCATATTGCAGAGTGAATGGCATCCTCTGGATAGTAACACGCTAAACATATTCCTTTGGAGAAATAAAGTGCTTGAGAGAGAAAGAGAGAGAGAGAGAGATGTGACAACGGAACAAAACGGGTACTTTGAGTCAAATGGTTTGTGGGTTTCATCGTACCCATGGCAACAGCCAGAGATGGAGCCATCAGTCATCTGCCGTCTCCATGCTTACCAGCTAGTCTAATTGTCACTGTAGTCACCTGTAACTTCCTGGTTGTGACAACTTCCTGTCCTGGTGACATCATGTTGAGTGAAATGGAAGCGGTGGGTTGGAACCTTACAGATTAGATCCAAACAGAGGTTGCATCCCAAATGACACACCGTTCCCTTTATAGCGCACTACTGTTGACCAGGGCTCATAGGACATTGGTCTAAAGTAGTGCTCTCTATAGGGAATAGGGTGCCATTTGGGACGTACGGAGAGAATGTGATGTCGTTGTTATTAGAGACCCAGGGACTTGCGGACGATCTGTTGGGCCAGGCTGTAGAACTGGTCTCTGTCCTCACGCCACATCTTGGATGCATCAACGTTCGCTCCACTCTCATCATTGGGCTCTGGAGAGAATGGTTTATTTACAGTCAATTGGAGATAATAGTGGCAAATACCAAAAGCAGCTATGCGTTCAATCAAACATCTCTATTAATGTAATATCATCAAATTAAAAACAACAACAACAGCATTAGGTTTCAAGTATGTCAATTATGTATTGAGTGAACTACCGAGCCCTGTTCTGAGGTTGAGCCCTGTTCTGAGGTTGAGCCCTGTTCTGAGGTTGAGCCCTGTTCTGAGGTTGAGCCCTGTTCTGAGGTTGAGCCCTGTTCTGAGGTTGAGATGGCTACAGTACGCAGAGAAAACCGTCTGAACTTTAGTCTGGAGCAGAGAGACTACAGGAAGAGACCAGGGGCTATAGATCTATTCCCATTGTTCCTAAAGGGTTCTGTCTGTCTCCCATTGTTCCTAAAGGGTTGTCTGTCTGACTCCCATTGTTCCTAAAGGGTTGTCTGTCTGACTCCCATTGTTCCTAAAGGGTTCTGTCTGACTCCCATTGTTCCTAAAGGGTTCTGTCTGTCTCCCATTGTTCCTAAAGGGTTGTCTGTCTGACTCCCATTGTTCCTAAAGGGTTGTCTGTCTGACTCCCATTGTTCCTAAAGGGTTGTCTGTCTGACTCCCATTGTTCCTAAAGGGTTGTCTGTCTGACTCCCATTGTTCCTAAAGGGTTGTCTGTCTGACTCCCATTGTTCCTAAAGGGTTGTCTGTCTGACTCCCATTGTTCCTAAAGGGTTGTCTGTCTGTCTCCCATTGTTCCTAAAGGGTTGTCTGTCTGACTCCCATTGTTCCTAAAGGGTTGTCTGTCTGACTCCCATTGTTCCTAAAGGGTTCTGTCTGTCTCCCATTGTTCCTAAAGGGTTCTGTCTGCTCCCATTGTTCCTAAAGGGTTCTGTCTGACTCCCATTGTTCCTAAAGGGTTGTCTGTCTGACTCCCATTGTTCCTAAAGGGTTGTCTGTCTGTCTCCCATTGTTCCTAAAGGGTTGTCTGTCTGACTCCCATTGTTCCTAAAGGGTTCTGTCTGTCTCCCATTGTTCCTAAAGGTTCGTCTCTCCTTGTCCTATGTCTGTCGTCTCCCATTGTTCCTAAAGGGTTGTCTGTCTGTCTCCCATTGTTCCTAAAGGGTTGTCTGTCTGTCTCCCATTGTTCCTAAAGGGTTGTCTGTCTGTCTCCCATTGTTCCTAAAGGGTTGTCTGTCTGACTCCCATTGTTCCTAAAGGGTTCTGTCTGACTCCCATTGTTCCTAAAGGGTTCTGTCTGTCTCCCATTGTTCCTAAAGGGTTCTGTCTGACTCCCATTGTTCCTAAAGGGTTCTGTCTGTCTCCCATTGTTCCTAAATGGTTCTGTCTGTCTCCCATTGTTCCTAAAGGGTTTCTGTCTGCTCCCATTGTTCCTAAAGGGTTCTGTCTGTCTCCCATTGTTCCTAAAGGGTTGTCTGTCTGTCTCCCATTGTTCCTAAAGGGTTGTCTGTCTGACTCCCATTGTTCCTAAAGGGTTGTCTGTCTGTCTCCCATTGTTCCTAAAGGGTTCTGTCTGTCTCCCATTGTTCCTAAAGGGTTGTCTGTCTGACTCCCATTGTTCCTAAAGGGTTCTGTCTGTCTCCCATTGTTCCTAAAGGGTTCTGTCTGTCCCTCTAGTCTGTCTGTGACCTGCCACTGCTACCATGCTGACCTGCTAACATTTTTTTTTATTTTTATTTTTTTTAGTCATTTAGCAGACGCTCTGTTCCAAAGCGATAATGCTGACCTGCTAGCATGCTGACCTGCTAGCATACTGACCTGCTAACATGCTGACCTGCTAACATGCTGACCTGCTAGCATGCTGACCTGCTAGCATACTGACCTGCTAGCATACTGACCAACTAGCATGCTGACCTGCTAGCATCTGACCTGCTAGCATGCTGACCTGCTAGCATACTGACCTGCTAGCATACTGACCTAACATGCTGACCTGCTAGCATGCTGACCAGCTAGCATGCTGACCAGCTAGCATGCTGACCTGCTAGCATGCTGACCTGCTAGCATGCTGACCTGCTAGCATGCTGACCAGCTAGCATGCTGACCTGCTAGCATACTGACCTGCTAGCATACTGACCTGCTAGCATACTGACCTGCTAGCATGCTGACCTGCTAGCATGCTGACCTGCTAGCATGCTGACCTGCTAGCATGCTGACCTGCTAGCATGCTGACCACAGACAGACAGTAATATATTCTTTCTGGACAGGACTCCATCTCTCAGCACTGACCTGCTAACATGCTGACTACAGACAGTAGGATCTTCTCTACACTCTGGACAGGACTCCATCTCTCAGCACTGCTCTCATACCCCATAGGGTCGTCTCCTGGAGCGTGTAGGATAGAGATGCACACTCGGCCATCTGGGTAAACTGAAGAGAAGGAGAGAGGAGAACACAACCAGTAGATACATAGAGGATCACACAGTACATGACACAACTCCAGAAACTGAAGGATGTAGCCTAGTAGTACTTTCATTTTGATGAAAAGCATATTTTCATTTCAGTACAACTGTGGCCCTTTGGGCTGTAGTAGCATAATACAAAGGCCATGAACTGTCGGGGTGGCAGAGAGGCTGTTCTCTCTGCTGTCAGGGTGCTGTTCTCTCTGCTGTCAGGGTGCTGTTCTCTCTGCTGTCAGGGTGCTGTTCTCTCTGCTGTCAGGGTGCTGTTCTCTCTGCTGTCAGGGTGCTGTTCTCTTATTGTCAGGGTGGCAGATTTGAGCTGTTCGCTCTACTGTCAGGGTGCTGTTCTCTCTGCTGTCAGGGTGGCAGAGTTGAGCTGTTCTCTCTGCTGTCAGGGTGCTGTTCTCTCTGCTGTCAGGGTGGCAGAGAGGCTGTTCTCTGTGCTGTCAGGGTGGCAGAGTTGAGCTGTTCTCTCTGCTGTCAGGGTGCTGTTCTCTTACTGTCAGGGTGGCAGAGTTGAGCTGTTCGCTCTACTGTCAGGGTGCTGTTCTCTCTGCTGTCAGGGTGCTGTTCTCTCTGCTGTCAGGGTGCTGTTCTCTCTGCTGTCAGGGTGCTGTTCTCTCTGCTGTCAGGGTGCTGTTCTCTTACTGTCAGGGTGGCAGAGTTGAGCTGTTCGCTCTACTGTCAGGGTGGCAGAGTTGAGCTGTTCGCTCTACTGTTAGGGTGCTGTTCTCTCTGCTGTCAGGGTGCTGTTCTCTCTGCTGTCAGGGTGGCAGAGTTGAGCTGTTCGCTCTACTGTCAGGGTGGCAGAGAGAGAGAGATGGGCTGGAGATTGAAATCCAATCAAAATCAGGGCAGCCCTGCTTCTGGTGAATCAAAGCACTCAGTCACTCGCAGTTCTATCAGCCACCACCACAGACCACTGTAATACAGCAGATCAGATCCCATCTGTGGCCAGAGTGTAATTGCTCTACTCTGCTAGGCTATGGAGGGAGAGATCCAGGGTCTGTGTCCCAAATGGCACCCTATTCCCTATATAGTGCACCTGCTCAAAAGTAGTACACTATATAGGGAATAGGGTGCCATTTGGGACTCTCCCAGGGATAGTGATCTGTAGATCTGTCCTCCCTCTCTTTGATAACTCCTCCATCTCTCCGCCTCTCAGGCCCAGCAGCCAGCAGGCTGATAAAGTGCTTCCTGTTTGCTATGTGTTATCTTGTGGCTAGCCTCCATTTCCCCCTGAGCCCTCACCATGCCACATCACATGCCAAAGGAGAGAAATGTTACAGTCGCAGATCCACCATAGAGTATCAGGGCTGAGGGGTGGGGGCTGAGTGGCGGGGGCTGAGGGGCGGGGGCTGAGCGGCGGGGGCTGAGGGGCGGGGGCTGAGGAGCGGGGGCTGAGGGGCGGGGGCTGAGGGGCGGGGGCTGAGGGGCGGGGGCTGAGGGGCGGGGGCTGAGCGGTGGGGGCTGAGGGGTGGGAGCTGAGGGGTGGGGGCTGAGGGGGGCTACCAGAAGCTACTGTTAGGGTTTAAGGCCTCCCCCCATTTCCCTCGGAGCCATCCAGTACTGGGGTAGAGAAACGTCAATGTTACAGTAGCAGATGAACCACAGAATAAAGGCCTCTGGGAGAATAAAGGCCTCTGGGAGAATAAAGGCCTCTGGGAGAATAAAGGCCTCTGGGAGAATAAAGGCCTCTGGGAGAATAAAGGCCTCTGGGAGAATAAAGGCCTCTGGGAGAATAAAGGCCTCTGGGAGAATAAAGGCCTCTGGGAGAATAAAGGCCTCTGGGAGAATAAAGGCCTCTGAGAGAAGATCTGGGCAGATGAGGGGTGTCGCAGGGGGCTGACAGAAGCTAGGGTTTTTAAGAGGCCAGGGGAATTCACCTATTCCATTATGCTTCACTGCTGACTGACGGTGTAGCAAAACAAAGTAACCACTAACGTTCAAAAACAAATTAGAAGTATCACGTTTGAAGAGTCATTTTACTGAATAGGATTCACCTTGGAGGTTAACACTTAATATTGGGTGTTTCAAACTCTCAGTATCTCGCCTTTGTGGGGTTGGAAAGTAAGGTAAGGTACAATGTCCCAGTCTTTACCCTAAAGGGACACGCATTAAACACACACAGACTTTCTCACAGTATCTAGCTGGCTCTCTGCCAGGACGGGTTAGTCTGTGTGTTACTTCTCTGTCCTCGACATCAGAGAGGCGTCCAGGGACTTCCACACCTCCGTTCAAATACCATTTCAAATCATTTAAAATACTTTATCTGGGCTTGATTGAGCTTACCTGACTTAGGAACCAATACAATTGTCAAAACACCACCCATCTGGCACATTCAAGCAGGCCAAAGCAAATGCTAAAAGTATTTGAAAGATTTCAAACAGTATTTGAACCCAGATGTGGTGCTCTCTCTCCCACTGGGAGCACCACAACACCACCACTGGTTCTCTCTGCTCTCATATTTAGGTGTCCCAGATATGATCAGGTATTGGCTGGTATTGGCTGGGCAGAGCAGGTATTGGCTGGGCAGAGCAGGTATTGGCTGGGCAGAGCAGGTATTGGCTGGTATTGGCTGGGCAGAGCAGGTATTGGCTGGGCAGAGCAGGTATTGGCTGGGCAGAGCAGGTATTGGCTGGGCAGAGCAGGTATTGGCTGGGCAGAGCAGGTATTGGCAGAGCAGTGGAGCAGACGGCAGCAACAGGACAGAGGCTGTCTCTCCAATGGCCCCCTTTACACTATATATAGTGCACTGCTTTTGACCAGAGCCTTATGGGCCCTGTGGGTCCTAGTTCAAAAGTAGTGCACTATATATAGTGTAAAGGGTACCATTGGAGACAACCTCTGTCCTGTTGCTGCCGTCTGCTCCACTCTGCTCCACCGACACACAGCCAAACACATACCTTTACTAACACCAAAAGACACAGAACACTCTGCCGTCTCCCTTCTCTTCTCACCCTGCAGACAACTATGAGACATATGAAACTAGTAGTCACAATGGAGTGACAACATTTAACTAACTGGTATTGTGTTCAGCAGGCTTTTAAAAACACTGTTGTTAACACTGACGATGTGTCCCAAATGCCACCATATTCCCGTTATAGTGCACTTCTGACCAAGGCCCTGGACAAAGGTAGTGCACTAGCCTGTACAGGGAATAGGGTGTCATTTGGGACGTATGAAGAGCCTCGGGCTAGGCCCAGGAAAGCAGCCTCGCCCAGTTCACTACGGACTGTTGTTGCTGTGGTTTAAGTTTTGTTTTGTAAAGCTGCCTTGCAGATGATCAAGCACAGGTTTGTAAACTTAAAAATGTCTGGCGTAGAGACAGAGACAGAGAGAGAGAGAGACAGACAGACAGACAGACAGACAGACAGACAGACAGAGACAGACAGACAGACAGACAGACAGACAGACAGACAGACAGACAGACGAGACAGACAGAGCAGAGACGAGACAGACAAGACAGAGACAGACGACAGAGAGACAGAGAGACAGAGAGAGAGAGAGAGAGAGAGAGAGAGAGAGAGACAGAGAAGAGAGAGAGAGACAGAGACAGAGAGAGAGAGAGAGAGAGAGAGAGAGAGAGAGAGAGAGAGAGAGAGAGAGAGAGAGAGAGAGAGAGAGAGAGAGAGAGAGAGAGAATGTTGTTGCTCTGTAAGGTTGCAGTCAGGCCTTTAACTCCCACCTGGCCTGCACCATATCCAGTTACACCAAAGGCCCAGCAGGATGGATGGAGGTGGCTGAAGTCTCCTTTAATGTGTGTCAATACCCATTAGTCCTTGATGTGGGCTCTGCAATACACCGCTCCCCCTCCATACCATACACCCTTCATCCTCAACTCCTTGGCTCAGTCCCAAATGGCACCCTATTCACTATATAGTACACTACTTTTGACTAGCAGACAACTTGAGTGCAAGCTGAGTTGGGAAGTCAGAGAGCAACATGTACTGTTAGACATAGCCTAATACTGTCTCAACTTCCTATTACCATTTCAATTCACACCACCTTCAGAAAAGATGTCTGACAACAATTACAAGATGTACCTCGTCAGCCAACCAACCAGCCAGTCAGTAATGTATGTTGACTTACTGTTGGGGTGAAACATGTCGCAGGTGAACCTCATCTTAGGGGGGCTGAGGGGGTAGTCTGATGGGAAGGAGAGGAGGGCTGGAAATACGCCGCCCTCAAAACACGTGTCCTCTGGACCCCTGGGAGAGAACACACAGGACGCAGGTAGGGTTAGTTCCACACAGGTAGGGTTAGTTCCACACAGGTAGGGTTAGATACACACAGGTAGGGTTAGATACACACAGGTAGGGTTAGTTCCACACAGGTAGGGTTAGATACACACAGGTAGGGTTAGATACACACAGGTAGGGTTAGTTCCACACAGGTAGGGTTAGTTCCACACAGGTAGGGTTAGATACACACAGGTAGGGTTAGTTACACACAGGTAGGGTTAGATACACACAGGTAGGGTTAGTTCCACACAGGTAGGGTTAGATACACACAGGTAGGGTTAGTTCCACACAGGTAGGGTTAGTTACACACAGGTAGGGTTAGTTCCACACAGGTAGGGTTAGATACACACAGGTAGGGTTAGTTCCACACAGGTAGGGTTAGATACACACAGGTAGGGTTAGTTCCACACAGGTAGGGTTAGTTACACACAGGTAGGGTTAGTTCCACACAGGTAGGGTTAGATACACACAGGTAGGGTTAGTTCCACACAGGTAGGGTTAGATACACACAGGTAGGGTTAGTTACACACAGGTAGGGTTAGTTACACACAGGTAGGGTTAGTTACACACAGGTAGGGTTAGTTACACACAGGTAGGGTTAGTTACACACAGGTAGGGTTAGTTACACACAGGTAGGGTTAGTTACACACAGGTAGGGTTAGTTACACACAGAATGATGATGACCGGAGAAGTTGGGCTGAAGTTATACAATACGATGTATCATATGAATAATTTATAGCTCAATGGGTGCTGCTCTGTTCTATAAGGGTAGGTGCTGCTCTGTTCTATAAGGGTAGGTGCTGCTCTGTTCTATAGGGGTAGGTGCTGCTCTGTTCTATAGGGGTAGGTGCTGGTCTGTTTTATAAGGGTAGGTGCTGCTCTGTTCTATAAGGGTGGGTGCTGCTCTGTTCTATAAGGGTAGGTGCTGCTCTGTTCTATAGGGGTAGGTGCTGCTCTGTTCTATAGGGGTAGGTGCTAATCTGTTCTATAGGGGTAGGTGCTAATCTGTTCTATAAGGGTAGGTGCTGCTCTGTTCTATAAGGGTAGGTGCTGCTCTGTACTATAAGGGTAGGTGCTGCTCTGTTCTATAGGGGTAGGTGCTGCTCTGTTCTATAGGGGTAGGTGCTGCTCTGTTCTATAAGGGTAGGTGCTGCTCTGTTCTATAGGGGTAGGTGCTGCTCTGTTCTATAGGGGTAGGTGCTGCTCTGTTCTATAGGGGTAGGTGCTAATCTGTTCTATAGGGGTAGGTGCTGCTCTGTTCTATAAGGGTAGGTGCTGCTCTATACTATAAGGGTAGGTGCTGCTCTGTTCTATAAGGGTAGGTGCTGCTCTGTTCTATAGGGGTAGGTGCTGCTCTGTTCTATAAGGGTAGGTGCTGCTCTGTTCTATAGGGGTAGGTGCTACTCTGTTCTATAGGGGTAGGTGCTGCTCTGTTCTATAAGGGTAGGTGCTGCTCTGTTCTATAAGGGTGGGTGCTGCTCTGTTCTATAGGGGTAGGTGCTGCTCTGTTCTATAAGGGTAGGTGCTGCTCTGTTCTATAAGGGTAGGTGCTGCTCTGTTCTATAGGGGTAGGTGCTGCTCTGTTCTATAAGGGTGGGTGCTGCTCTGTTCTATAAGGGTAGGTGCTGCTCTGTTCTATAAGGGTAGGTGCTGCTCTGTTCTATAGGGGTAGGTGCTGCTCTGTTCTATAGGGTAGGTGCTGCTCTGTTCTATAGGGGTAGGTGCTGCTCTGTTCTATAGGGGTAGGTGCTGCTCTGTTCTATAAGGGTAGGTGCTGCTCTGTTCTATAAGGGTAGGTGCTGCTCTGTTCTATAAGGGTAGGTGCTGCTCTGTTCTATAAGGGTAGGTGCTGCTCTGTTCTATAGGGGTAGGTGCTGCTCTGTTCTATAGGGGTAGGTGCTGCTCTGTTCTATAAGGGTAGGTGCTGCTCTGTTCTATAAGGGTAGGTGCTGCTCTGTTCTATAGGGGTAGGTGCTGCTCTGTTCTATAAGGGTAGGTGCTGCTCTGTTCTATAAGGGTAGGTGCTGCTCTGTTCTATAAGGGTAGGTGCTGCTCTGTTCTATAAGGGTAGGTGCTGCTCTGTTCTATAGGGGTAGGTGCTGCTCTGTTCTATAAGGGTAGGTGCTGCTCTGTTCTATAAGGGTAGGTGCTGCTCTGTTCTATAAGGGTAGGTGCTGCTCTGTTCTATAGGGGTAGGTGCTGCTCTGTTTTATAAGGGTAGGTGCTGCTCTGTTCTATAAGGGTAGGTGCTGCTCTGTTCTATAAGGCTAGGTGCTGCTCTGTTCTATAAGGGTAGGTGCTGCTCTGTTCTATAGGGGTAGGTGCTGCTCTGTTCTATAAGGGTAGGTGCTGCTCTGTTCTATAAGGGTAGGTGCTGCTCTGTTCTATAAGGGTAGGTGCTGCTCTGTTCTATAAGGGTAGGTGCTGCTCTGTTCTATAGGGGTAGGTGCTGCTCTGTTCTATAGGGGTAGGTGCTGCTCTGTTCTATAGGGGTAGGTGCTGCTCTGTTCTATAAGGGTAGGTGCTGCTCTGTTCTATAAGGGTAGGTGCTGCTCTGTTCTATAAGGGTAGGTGCTGCTCTGTTCTATAAGGGTAGGTGCTGCTCTGTTCTATAAGGGTGGGTGCTGCTCTGTTCTATAAGGGTGGGTGCTGCTCTGTTCTATAGGGGTAGGTGCTGCTCTGTTCTATAAGGGTAGGTGCTGCTCTGTTCTATAAGGGTAGGTGCTGCTCTGTTCTATAGGGGTAGGTGCTGCTCTGTTCTATAGGGGTAGGTGCTGCTCTGTTTTATAGGGGTAGGTGCTGCTCTGTTCTATAAGGGTAGGTGCTTCTCTGTTCTATAAGGGTGGGTGCTGCTCTGTTCTATAGGGGTAGGTGCTGCTCTGTTCTATAAGGGTAGGTGCTGCTCTGTTCTATAAGGGTAGGTGCTGCTCTGTTCTATAGGGGTAGGTGCTGCTCTGTTCTATAGGGGTAGGTGCTGCTCTGTTCTATAAGGGTAGGTGCTGCTCTGTTCTATAGGGGTAGGTGCTGCTCTGTTCTATAGGGGTAGGTGCTGCTCTGTTCTATAAGGGTAGGTGCTGCTCTGTTCTATAGGGATAGGTGCTGCTCTGTTCTATAGGGGTAGGTGCTGCTCTGTTCTATAGGGGTAGGTGCTGCTCTGTTCTATAAGGGTAGGTGCTGCTCTGTTCTATAGGGGTAGGTGCTGCTCTGTTCTATAGGGGTAGGTGCTGCTCTGTTTTATAAGGGTAGGTGCTGCTCTGTTCTATAAGGTTAGGTGCTGCTCTGTTCTATAAGGCTAGGTGCTGCTCTGTTCTATAAGGGTGGGTGCTGCTCTGTTCTATAGGGGTAGGTGCTGCTCTGTTCTATAGGGGTAGGTGCTGCTCTGTTCTATAGGGGTAGGTGCTGCTCTGTTCTATAGGGGTAGGTGCTGCTCTGTTCTATAAGGGTAGGTGCTGCTCTGTTCTATAAGGGTGGGTGCTGCTCTGTTCTATAAGGGTAGGTGCTGCTCTGTTCTATAGGGGTAGGTGCTGCTCTGTTCTATAAGGGTAGGTGCTGCTCTGTTCTATAAGGGTAGGTGCTGCTCTGTTCTATAAGGGTAGGTGCTGCTCTGTTCTATAAGGGTAGGTGCTGCTGTATGGCTCTGTGGACAGCCACTGGCTGCGTACCAAATGGAACCCTATTCCCATAGGGCTGTGGTTTCATTAGACTGTATTACATGCTGGGACAGGCAGGCGGTTTATTCAGGGGAGGATTAGGCAGAGATGCACGCTAAATACAAGGATCAGTACACTTCATAGACCCTCTACACCGTGGTGACATAACACAGGACAGCTAGTCAGATACACAATCATCTCTATAGGAAGAGTTTCCATCGCACCGGCTGGGTACGCTAGAATTTTCCTTTAGAAATTGTACAAGTCGTTTTCAATAGGTTTAAAATCATGGCTACTGGCTAGACAAGGAAAGTCAAGTTGTCAATGCAAGAGAACTGTTGCATCACTGACATGTATATATGAGTAATAGCCTACATGTGAAGCTACAATCTCCTTTTAAAAGTATAGAAGTGTATTTCACTAGTTGTACACACTGAGTACAGTAGTAGCCTAATTGACAACGTGCTAAAACATGGACTGTATAACCGGAGGGGCTGTATAACCGGAGGGGCTGTATAACCGGAGGGGCTGTATAACCGGAGGGGCTGTATAACCGGAGGACATAACATGGCTTTGCATGTCATCATTGTTACTTGATATACAGTGCATTCAGAAAGCACTCAGACCCCTTCACTTTTTCCACATTTTGTTATGTTAAAGCCTTATTCTATAAAATAAGGCTGTAAATAGTTTTTTCCCCCCTCATCAATATACACACACAATACCCCAAATGTATTAAAAATAGAAAACTGAAATATCATATTTACATAAGTATTCAGACCCTTTACTCAGTACTTTGTTGAAGCACCTTTGGGCAGCGATTACAGCCTTGAGTCTTCTTGGGTATGACGTTACAAGCTTGGCACACCTGTATTTGGGGAGTTTCTCCCATTCTTCTCTACAGATCCTCTCAGGCTCTGCCAGGTTGGATGGGGAGCGTCTCTGCACAGCTATTTTCAGGTCTCTCCAGAGATGTTTGATCGGGTTCAAGTCCGGCCTCTGGCTGGGCCACTCAAGGACATTCAGAAACTTGTCCCGAAGCCACTCCTGCGTTGTCTTGGCTGTGTGCTTAGGGTCGTTGTCCTGTTGGAAGGTGAACCTTCGCCCCAGTCGGAGGTCCTGAGCGCTCTGGAGCATGTTTTCATCAAGGATCTCTCTGTACTTTGCTCCGTTCATCTTTCCCTCGATCCTGACTAGTCTCCCAGTCCCTGCCGCTGAAAAACATCCCCACAGCATTATGCTGCCACCACCATGCATCACCGTAAGGATTGTGCCAGGTTTCCTCCAGACGTGACGCTTGGCATTCAGGCCAAAGACTTCAATCTTGGTTTCATGAGACCAGAGAATCTTGTTTCTCATGGTCTGAGAGTTCTTTAGGTGCCTTTTGGCAAACTCCAAGCGGGCTGTCATGTGCCTTTTACTGAGGAGTGGCTTCCGTCTGGCCACTCTACCATAAAGGCATGAATGCTGGAGTGCTGCAGAGATGGTTGTCCTTCTGGAAGGTTTTCCCCATCTCCACAGAGGAACTCTGGAGCTCTGTCAGAGAGACCATCGGGTTCTTGGTCACCTCCTTGACCAATACCCTTCTCCCCTGATTGCTCAGTTTGGCCAGGCGGCCAGCTCTAGGAAGAGTCTTGGTGGTTCCAAACTTCTTCCATTTAAGTATGATGGAGGCCACTGTGTTCTTGGGGACCTTCAATGCTGTAGACATTTTTTGGTACCCTTCCCCCAGATCTGTGCCTCGACACGATCCTGTCTCGGAGCTCTACGGACAATTCCTTCGAACTCATGGTTTGGATTTTGCTCTGACATGCACTGTCAACTGTGGGACCTTATATAGACAGGTGTGTGCCTTTCCAAATCATGTCCAATCAATTTAATTTACCACAGGTGGACTCCAATCAAGTTGTAGAAACATCAACAGATTATCAATGGAAACAGGATGCACCTGAGCTCAATTTCGAGTCTCATAGCAAAGGGTCTGAATACTTATGTACAGGTTAAGTCAGAAGTTTACATACACTGAGGTTGGAGTCATTAAAACTCATCTTTCAACCACTCCACAAATGTCTTGTTAACAAACCATAGTTTTGGCAAGTCGGTTAGGACATCTACTTTGTGCATGACACAAGTATTTTTTCCAACTGTTTACAGACAGATTATTTAACTTATAATTCACTGTATCACAATTCCAGTGGGTCAGAAGTTTACATACACTAAGTTGACTGTGCCTTTAAACAGCTTGGAAAATTCCAGAAAATTATGTCATGGCTTTAAAAGCTTCTGATAGGCTAATTGACACCATTTGAGTCAATTGGAGGTGTACCTGTGGATGTATTTCAAGGCCTACCTTCAAACTCAGTGCCTCTTTGCTTGACATCATGGGAAAATCAAAAGAAATCAGCCAAGACCTCAGAAAAAAAATTGTAGACCTCCACAAGTCTGGTTCATCCTTGGGAGCAATTTCCAAACGCCTGAAGGTACCACATTCATCTGTACAAACAATAGTACGCAAGTATAAACACCATGGTACCACGCAGCCGTCATACCGCTCAGGAAGGAGACGCGTTCTGTCTCCTAGAGATGAACGTACTTTGGTGCGAAAAGTGCAAATCAATCCCAGAACAACAGGAAAGGACCTTGTGAAGATGCTGGAGGAAACAGGTACAAAAGTATCTATATCCACAGTAAAACGAGTCCTATATCGACATAACCTGAAAGACCGCTCAGCAAGGAAGAAGCCACTGCTCCAAAACCACCATAAAAAAGCCAAACTACGGTATTGGAGTGGCCATCACAAAGCCCTGACCTCAATCCTATTGAAAATATGTGGGCAGAACTGAAAAAGCGTGTGCGAGCAAGGAGGCCTACAAACCTGACTCAGTTACACCAACTCTGTCAGGAGGAATGGGCCAAAATTCACCCAAATTATTGTGGGAAGCTTGTGGAAGGCTACCCGAAACATTTGACCCAAGTTAAACAATTTAAAGGCAATGCTACCAAATAAATTGAGTGTATGTAAACTTCTGACCCACTGGGAATGTGATGAAAGAAATAAAAGCTGAAATAAATCACTCTACTATTATTCTGACATTTCACATTCTTAAAATAAATTTGTGATCGAAACTGATCTAAGACAATGAATTTTTACTAGGATTAAATGTCAGGAATTGTGAAAAACTTAGTTTAAATGTATTTGGCTAAGGTGTATGTAAACTTCCGACTTCAACTGTAAATAAGGTATTTCTGTTTTGTATTTTTATTACATTTGCAAACATTTCTAAAAACCTGTTTTCACTTTGTCATTATGGGGTATTGTGTCATTATGGGGTATTGGGTCATTATGGGGTATTGTGTGTAGATTGATGAGGCAAAAAGTTAATGTAATCCATTTTAGAAAAAGGCTGTAGCGTAACAAAATGTGGAAAAGGTCAAGGGGTCTGAATACTTTCCGAATGCACTGTATACAGTAATACATAACCATCCTAAATCAGGATAGATCAATCTCACCACTTTGCCCAAAAACTGATTAAAACACATCCATAAATAAATAACTAGATGGAATTCTCCACTGCAGCGCATTTAAAGGTACACTCAGCAAAATGACGTTGCCATGAGCAGCACCAGAGATATTGAGATGAGAGAGATGCAACACTTCTCAGATGCAACACAGTATCTGCGCATGTGCACGGGTTGGCGTCACGCTGTGTACAAGACACTAAAACAGCTGAGAAGTTGAGCCATGCGCTTCAACGCTCTTAGTTGTTGCAGAACATTAACCCTGTTTACTTTTTGCATCTACGTCATATCACTGAGTCTACCTTTAACAGGCAAATGTTGGGTGTTTGTTTTAGGCCTGCCAATCAATCATTAATCAATCATCGACTTCACAGCCAATCAGCTGTCCCATCTAATTTCCTTGCCTGACACGGCAACGTCCTTGTTTTGATTGGCTGAGTTAGAAGCACTTAAACAAATCCTTATCTGATCACCTAGCCACCAGATCAGCTGATTGACAGTCAGGTTCTGATCATATCTATTCTGTTAGTGACACTCCTTGTTCCTAGTGCCAGTCTATTCTGTTAGTGACACTCCTTGTTCCTAGTGCCAGTCTATTCTGTTAGTGACACTCCTTGTTCCTAGTGCCAGTCTATTCTGTTAGTGACACTCCTTGTTCCTAGTGCCAGTCTATTCTGTTAGTGACACTCCTTGTTCCTAGTGCCAGTCTATTTGTGCCATCATTTACATTTTCAGTCATTTAGCAGACGCTCTTATCCAGAGCGACTTACAGTTAGTGAGTGCATATTTTTTTCATACTGGCCCCCCGTGGGAATCGAACCCACAACCCTGGCGTTGCAAACATGCTCTACCAACTGAGCTACATCCCTGCCGGCCTACCCTGGACGACGCTGGGCCAATTGTGCACCGCCCCATAGGTCTCATCGGTCGCGGCCGGCTACGACAGAGCCTGGATTTGAACCAGGATCTCTAGTGGCACAGCTAGCACTGCGATGCAGTGCCTTAGACCACTGCGCCACTCGAGAGAATATGCCACCAACTCCTTGTCACACATTGTCATGCCAAACATGTGACATCAAACACAATGACATCAAATCAGAGATGGCAAGACCACAAACATATCTGGGGTCAGGCTACCTCATTTGCTGATCTAAATATCATAGGATTATAAAAGGCCAAACTGATCATAGATCAGCAATACTCCAACTCATTGTGAATATGGGCCCTGAACCGCTTCACGCATCATTGCATTTTCTCCCCAGTCCCTTCTGCGAAAGAAGCAGAAATGACAGATCTACCGATGTCAACTAGACTGAGGCATTCAGTCACATGACGTTATTCTGGTGAGCAAGGGTCTATTTAGTCTTCAAGGGCAACATATAATGACAGAAGAGAAGCTGCATGTATCTAATTATAGACAAGTTGACTTACAAATAGCCTAAAATGTCAGAAATTATAAGCAGAAACAAATTAGGGGGGAAATATTCCTGCACCCCGTCAAAAGATTATTCTGCCGTCTCTGACTGGAGCCTACAGCGCATTTCTATATAGCGTTAGAGGTGCCCTGATTATCATAAGTCGGGCGTTGGATCAACAGTAGAACGCGCACCTCTAGTCCGCTTCTACCAAACTACATTGCATTTCTCCCTAGTCTGTCCCTGCTTCGACCAGAACCTACAGTCCTTCACTGTTCTGACCAGAACCTACAGGCTTTCATGTCTGACGATATCTGTTAACAAGGCTATTAGGCCAGCATTTAAAACCCTTGTGAACTCCTGATCTATCTAGAATACAGCTAATACATCCAACTCTGTGAGGGCCCTGGGACGGAGAGCCCTGCCGGAAGCCTGGCCTGGACCAGGCCTCTGCGGAACCGGATGAGGCCCTGACCGTGAAGATGGGCCTTCGGGACCTGGGAGACCCTGGGACCAGGCCCTGTCGTGAGAGGCCGGGAACTATAAGACCTGACGAAGAAGCTCTGATTATTGACAGGACCTGACGAGAGGCCTGTGTCACGGGAGACTTATGACAGAAACATATTAGGGAGGACTGTTACCGAGCCCTGACGAGATTGGTCGCCTGTTCATGACTGGGAGACTACCAGGATCAATAGGGAGAGACCGTTGCGGCTGTAGATATCTCTGGTCGGAGGCTGTGGACTGGACAACTGCTAACCCGTGTCACCTACTGGTTGTCCTGTGGAGCTGAGTCAGGCCTGTTCACTGATTGAGACAGAACCTCTAGACAGGCCTGTGTCCACTGCTTTGACCAGGAGAAACCCTCACGGGGTTAGCTTCTGACAGAGAACACTCGGCACGTATGTATGACCAGAACCCATCACAGCTCCTGTTGTACCTGTGAAGGCAGGCCACTTGGAGAAAAGCCTTGTTGACACTTGACATAACTCTCAGGAAACAGTAGCTTAGGCCCTGGGACAGGAGAGTACCCTGTGACTGGAAGGCACCATGTAAAAGGACAGGGAAAGAGCGGAGAGCCCCTGAGGAAACGGGAGAGGCCCTATGGGACGGAGAGGACCTGAGAAGCGACAACCTGCGACTTGAGTACAGGCCCTAGAGGACTAGGAGAGGACGGGACTGAGAGACCTCCACTTGGACTAGAGGCCTGGAACTGAGAAAGACGACTACCCGTCACTTAGAATACATAGGCCCTAGTTAAGACTGAGAAGAGAGCTGACCGACGTCCACTTGATAGATGAGGCCCAATATAGGAAGGACTAGTGAAGAGACGACTACCCTGCGACTTCGATACAAGGCCCTTTGGGACTAGGAGAAGAGACAACCTCCAGGCTTGAATACATAGGGCCTATAAAGAACCTAGAGAAAAGAAACAGCTCCACTTAGATACATAGGCCCTAGTTAAAGAACTATGGAGCGCTATACACCTCCACCGAGAATATCAGGCCAATAAAAACTAGAGAAACGACTAACCTCCCTTCAGAAACTGGCCTAATTAGAAGACTAGAGTTCAGTACTGACTAACACCTCCATTCAATACTAGGTCCTCTATAAAAGAAACTATGGAGACCCAATAATGGATGTGAAGAAGGACTAGAGAAAGAACGACTAACACCTCCACTTCAGAATACATAGGCCCTAATAAAAGAAACCTAGAGAAAGACGACTAACACTCCACTTCAGAATACATAGGCCCTAATATAAAAGGACTAGAGAAAGACGACTAACACCTCCACTTCAGAAATACATAGGCCCAGATATAAAAAGGAACTATGAGACAGACGACTAACACCGAGTCCACTTCAGAATACATAGGCCCGAATATAGAAAGGACTAGAGAAAGACGACTAACACCTCCACTTCAGATACATAGGCCCTAATATAAAGGACTAGAGAAAGACGACTAACACCTCCACTTCAGAATACATAGGCCCTAATATAAAGAACTAGAGAAAGACGACTAACACCTCCACTTCAGAATACATAGGCCCTAATATAAAGAAACTAGAGAAAGACGACTAACACCTCCACTTCAGAATACATAGGCCCTAATATAAAGGAACTAGAGAAAGACGACTAACACCTCCACTTCAGAATACATAGGCCCTAATATAAAGAACTAGAGAAAGACGACTAACACCTCCACTTCAGAATACATAGGCCCTAATATAAAAGGACTAGAGAAAGACGACTAACACCTCCACTTCAGAATACATAGGCCCTAATATAAAAGAAACTAGAGAAAGACGACTAACACCTCCACTTCAGAATACATAGGCCCTAATATAAAGAAACTAGAGAAAGACGACTAACACCTCCACTTCAGAATACATAGGCCCTAATATAAAGGAACTAGAGAAAGACGACTAACACCTCCACTTCAGAATACATAGGCCCTAATATAAAAGGACTAGAGAAAGACGACTAACACCTCCACTTCAGAATACATAGGCCCTAATATAAAAGGACTAGAGAAAGACGACTAACACCTCCACTTCAGAATACATAGGCCCTAATATAAAAGGACTAGAGAAAGACGACTAACACCTCCACTTCAGAATACATAGGCCCTAATATAAAAGGACTAGAGAAAGACGACTAACACCTCCACTTCAGAATACATAGGCCCTAATATAAAGAAACTAGAGAAAGACGACTAACACCTCCACTTCAGAATACATAGGCCCTAATATAAAAGGACTAGAGAAAGACGACTAACACCTCCACTTCAGAATACATAGGCCCTAATATAAAGAACTAGAGAAAGACGACTAACACCTCCACTTCAGAATACATAGGCCCTAATATAAAGAAACTAGAGAAGACGACTAACACCTCCACTTCAGAATACATAGGCCCTAATATAAAAGGACTAGAGAAAGACGACTAACACCTCCACTTCAGAATACATAGGCCCTAATATAAAAGGACTAGAGAAAGACGACTAACACCTCCACTTCAGAATACATAGGCCCTAATATAAAAGGACTAGAGAAAGACGACTAACACCTCCACTTCAGAATACATAGGCCCTAATATAAAAGGACTAGAGAAAGACGACTAACACCTCCACTTCAGAATACATAGGCCCTAATATAAAAGGACTAGAAAAGACGACTAACAACCTCCACTTCAGAATACATAGGCCCTAATATAAAAGGACTAGAGAAAGACGACTAACACCTCCACTTCAGAATACATAGGCCCTAATATAAAAGGACTAGAGAAAGACGACTAACACCTCCACTTCAGAATACATAGGCCCTAATATAAAGGAACTAGAGAAAGACGACTAACACCTCCACTTCAGAATACATAGGCCCTAATATAAAGGAACTAGAGAAGACGACTAACACCTCCACTTCAGAATACATAGGCCCTAATATAAAGGAACTAGAGAAAGACGACTAACACCTCCACTTCAGAATACATAGGCCCTAATATAAAGAAACTAGAGAAAGACGACTAACACCTCCACTTCAGAATACATAGGCCCTAATATAAAGAAACTAGAGAAAGACGACTAACACCTCCACTTCAGAATACATAGGCCCTAATATAAAGAAACTAGAGAAAGACGACTAACACCTCCACTTCAGAATACATAGGCCCTAATATAAAGAAACTAGAGAAAGACGACTAACACCTCCACTTCAGAATACATAGGCCCTAATATAAAAACTAGAGAAAAGACGACTAACACCTCCACTTCAGAATACATAGGCCCTAATATAAAAGGACTAGAGAAAGACGACTAACACCTCCACTTCAGAATACATAGGCCCTAATATAAAGAGACTAGAGAAAGACGACTAACACCTCCACTTCAGAATACATAGGCCCTAATATAAAAGGACTAGAGAAAGACGACTAACACCTCCACTTCAGAATACATAGGCCCTAATATAAAGAAACTAGAGAAAGACGACTAACACCTCCACTTCAGAATACATAGGCCCTAATATAAAAGGACTAGAGAAAGACGACTAACACCTCCACTTCAGAATACATAGGCCCTAATATAAAGAAACTAGAGAAAGACGACTAACACCTCCACTTCAGAATACATAGGCCCTAATATAAAAGGACTAGAGAAAGACGACTAACACCTCCACTTCAGAATACATAGGCCCTAATATAAAAGACTAGAGAAAGACGACTAACACCTCCACTTCAGAATACATAGGCCCTAATATAAAGAAACTAGAGAAAGACGACTAACACCTCCACTTCAGAATACATAGGCCCTAATATAAAAGGACTAGAGAAAGACGACTAACACCTCCACTTCAGAATACATAGGCCCTAATATAAAGGAAACTAGAGAAAGACGACTAACACCTCCACTTCAGAATACATAGGCCCTAATATAAAGAAACTAGAGAAAGACGACTAACACCTCCACTTCAGAATACATAGGCCCTAATATAAAGAAACTAGAGAAAGACGACTAACACCTCCACTTCAGAATACATAGGCCCTAATATAAAGGAACTAGAGAAAGACGACTAACACCTCCACTTCAGAATACATAGGCCCTAATATAAAGGACTAGAGAAAGACGACTAAACACCTCCACTTCAGAATACATAGGCCCTAATATAAAAGAAACTAGAGAAAGACGACTAACACCTCCACTTCAGAATACATAGGCCCTAAAGACGACGAACACCTCCACTTCAGAATACATAGGCCCTAATATAAAGAAACTAGAGAAAGACGACTAACACCTCCACTTCAGAATACATAGGCCCTAATATAAAAGGACTAGAGAAAGACGACTAACACCTCCACTTCAGAATACATAGGCCCCTAATATAAGAAAAACTAGAGAAAGACGAATAACACCTCCACTTCAGAATACATAGGCACCCTAATATAAAGACTAAGAAAGACGCCTAACACCTCCACTTCAGAATACATAGGCCCTAATATAAAAGGATAGAGAAAGACGACTAACACCTCCACTTCAGAATACATAGGCCCCTAATATAAAAAGGACTAGAGAAAGACGACTAACACCTACACTTCAGAATACATAGGCCCTAATATAAAAGGAAACTAGAGAAAGACGACTAACACCCTCCACTTCAGAATACATAGGCCCTAATATAAAGGAACTAGAGAAAGACGACTAACACCTCCACTTCAGAATACATAGGCCCTAATATAAAGGACTAGAGAAAAGACGACTAACCACCTCCACTTCAGAATACATAGGCCCTAATATAAAGGACTAGAGAAAGACGACTAACACCTCCACTTCAGAATACATAGGCCCCTAATATAAAGAAACTAGAGAAAGACGACTAACACCTCCACTTCAGAATACATAGGCCCTAATATAAAAGGACTAGAGAAAGACGACTAACACCTCCACTTCAGAATACATAGGCCCTAATATAAAGAACTAGAGAAAGACGACTAACACCTCCACTTCAGAATACATAGGCCCTAATATAAAAGGAACTAGAGAAA